TGGTGGAGTCATGTTTTGGGACGGAATCATAGTAAGAGAGCTGGTTGGCCCCTTTAGGGTCCCCGAAGGTGTAAAGATGACCTCTGCAAAGTATGTGGAGTTTCTGACTGACCACTTTTTTCCCTGGTACAGAAGGAAGAACTATGCTTTCCATAATAAAATTATCTTCATGCATGACAATGCACCATCTCATGCTGCAAAGAATACCTCTGCACCAATGGCTGCTATGGTGATAAAAGGAGAGAAAGTCATGGTGTGCCCTCCATCCTCCCCTGACCTCAATCCTATTGATAACCTTTTGAGCATTCTCAAGCAAAAGACCTATGAGGGTGGGAGGCAGTTTACATCTAAACAGCAGCTCTGGGAGGCTATTCTGACATCTTGCAAACAAATTCAAGCAGAAACTGTCCAAAAACTCACAAGGTCAATGGATGCAAGACTTGTGAAGCTGCTATCAAATAAGGGGTCCTATGTTAAAATGTAACGTGACCTGTTAAAATGTTTAAAAAATTAAAATGTTCTTATAAGTTTGATTGAAATAGCTTTTGATTTCAGTAAATATGCTGCAAACACAACAAATGACAATTTTCAGTTCTTTACAACCTATAAAGTGTTTTGAAACTTACTGTGCGTAATAATTTGGTACAGTGCATTGTACATTTTTTTTATATTTAAAAAAAATACTGTTATCAATAGGAGGTTTGTTCTATAAAATTTGAATTGCACTCTTAATAGTTGATAACATGAGAATTATGCTGACTGTTATTTACATCAATTATTTAGGTAAATGAGAAAAATATCATTTGCATAATAATTTGGAACAGGGTGTATACTGATTTTTCTTATGTACGATATATATTTTTTAATTTTGAAAAAAAAATATACCGTATTTATCGGCGTATAACACGCACCGGCGTATAACACGCACCTCATTTTAAGAAGGAAATTTCAGGGAAAAAACCTTAAAGGACCACTATAGTGCCCTGAGGGTGCCCCCACCCTCAGGGACCCCCTCCCGCCGGGCTCTCGAGAGAGGAAGGGGTTAAACACTTACCTTTCTCCAGCGCCGGGCGGGGAGCTGTACTCCTCCTCTCCTCCTTGCTCGCGACGTCATCGGCTGAATGCGCATGCGCGGCAGGAGCCGCGCGCGCATTCAGCCGGTCGCATAGGAAAGCATTTGCAATGCTTTCCTATGGACGCTTGCGTGCTCTCACTGTGATTTTCACAGTGAGAAGCACGCAAGCGCCTCTAGCGGCTGTCAATAAGACAGCCACTAGAGGCTCTGGAGGCTGGATTAACCCTCAGTATAAACATAGCAGTTTCTCTGAAACTGCTATGTTTATAAAAAAAAGGATTAATCCTAGAGGGACCTGGCACCCAGACCACTTCATTAAGCTGAAGTGGTCTGGGTGCCTAGAGTGGTCCTTTAAATTTCAAATAAAGAACTTCTTTACCCCCCTTTCTTACTCCCCCCTCCTCCTCCCCCTCTTCTTACCCCCCTTTCCCCCCCCTTCTTCTTACCCCCCTCCCCCTCTTACCCCCTTCTTACTCCCCCTCCCCCTCTTCTTACCCCCCTTTCTTACTCCCCCCTCCCCCTCTTCTTACTTCCCCTTCCCCCTCTTACCCCCTTCTTACTCCCCCTCCCCCTCTTCTTACCCCCCATTCTTACTTCCCCCTCCCCCTCTTACCCCCTTGTTACTCCCCCTCCCCCTCTTCTTACCCCCTTTCTTACTCCCCCCCCTCCCCTCTTCTGCCCCCCTCCCCTCTTACCCCCCCTTCTCCTCCCCTCCTCTTGCCCCCTTCCCCCCTCTTACCCCCTCCCTACTCCCCCTCTTCTTGCCCACCTTTCTTGCTCCCCCTCCCCCCTCTTGCTGCCTCCCCCTCTTGCCCCTTCTCCCCTCCCCCTCTTCACCTCCCCTTTCACTCCCCCTCCCCCCTCTTCTTGCTTCCTCCCCTCTTCCCTTCTTACTCCCCCTCCCCCTTTCTCACCCCCCATTCTTACTTCCCCCCCCCCCTCTTACCCCTTTCTTCCTCCCCCCCTCTTCTTACCCCCTTTCTTCTCCCCCACCCCCCCCCCCCCCCCCCCCCCCCCCCCCCCCCCCTCCCCTCTCCCCTTTCCCTCCCCCTCCCTCTTCTTACCCCCCTCCCCCTCTATTCACCCCCTTCTTACCCCCCTCCCCTGTAGCGTGGCCGAGCCGCTCTGCTGTCCTGTTCCGAGTGTTCCGAGTTTCTGTTTCCTGTACCCAGGTCGGACTGACAGGAAGGTGCACACTGAGCGTGCACCTTCCTATCACTCCGGCCGGCCGGCCACCGCGGACAGCAGAGCGGCTCGGCCACGCTACAGGGGAGGTGAGTACCAACTGCAGCCGCCTGAGCGCTCTTTACAGAGCGCTCAGGCGGCTGCAGTATTTAAAGGGCCGGCGTATAACACGCACCCACAATTTGCTCCCTATTTTTAGGGAGAAAAAGTGCGTGTTATACGCCGATAAATACGGTATTTTAAAAAGTTTATCCAAAAATGTTAAATCATTTGAAAAGCTTATCCCAAAATATTAATTCGGGGCCATAATCAGGCTTTTTTGCTGAACTGAGAATTGTTAGGAATTTAAAGTTAATTTCAAATTCAAGGCCAAAGTAGCGGAATTGGACGTTTCTAAATCCAGCTGTCCTTCCAGTCTAGCTAATTTGGCATTAAATTTAAAATCCACTTAGAATTGATCTTCCTCTTGTGTTTCTACATCTTGCCTCGTCTTTATTGTAAGCTCGTTCGGGCAGGTTCCCTAAAAACATCTAGACTTCTCTCTTTTGTGCTGTTTTAACCCCACATTATCATTGTAAAGCGCAGAGGAATATGCTGGTGCAATATAAATAGGTAATAATAAAAATTATTATTATTACAAAAGCCCGTAGCCAGTGATCTTACCTTTGAGTTTGTTTGCGGTTTAGATTTTCAATCAAGTAGGAATAACATTCTCTCTAATCAGTGAAGTAATAAAGGCAATTATCCAATTAGTCACCTAGACTAGATCAGGAATAAGTAATTATTTGACAGAAGGCCAGATGCACTAGAGCAGCCACATTAACACAAAAAGTATAGAATATAAGGATTACAGCTTGATTTCATGTAGTAAGTATGTAAAATACAGTAGCACTCACTGTCTCACTCGTTCCACACCTGGTACAAAGAGTTAGATAACCAAATTCTAATGACAGAAATATTGTTCTGTTGAACCGCCTGGATCATGTTTTCAAAGGTTTCTTCCTTAAATGCCACATTTGTTTGTTGAATTCCTTACAAAATTGATAAATGGAATGGGAGACATTTTGTGGATACTGCTGACTTTATAATGGCTTTAAAAAAAACATTGAAATAAATTACTGAGACACCTCTGCTCAAGGAGAGATTATTTTATACCCCGTTGTTAAGCCACACAGATCAAGGTCACAGTCACAGCTCAAGGTCAAAGCTGATTGCTAATTGATCTTGTCAAGAGCAAGAGACAAAATGAAATCAGCTGCCTCTGGGTTCATACACAATTTGCTGTTTCAATGAAAATACAAGTGCATACTTCAGAGCCATATTGGGTAAAGCCAGGATGGCCAAATGTTTTGTGAATCTAAAAATCCATTGATGCTTTGGCAGGCTAGATGCTGGCAAAACATTATGAGAGTTGTGGAACTATAAGAGCTAAAAGCTAGGTTTGCCAGATAACAATGAGTTATTCAATCATTAAAGGGACACTCCGCTGCCCAAATAAAAAAATAATTTTTACAAAAATCACCGTTCAGTAGATATACCTCCAATGAACACATGCATGCATTTAATTATGCATTTTTTCATTGGAAATATTTTTAAAAGTAGCTTCCAAAAGCTGCAGACCTGTTGTTTGCAGCCTATGCAAGTCCTCCTCTTCTAACCCCATCCAGACTTTCCAATGCAGCTCAATAAGACGTCTTTGCAAGGCAGGTGCCCTATTTGCTGCCTCTTGAGTTTAGCTCCACTGAGCTAAACAACCAGGAAGTAACAGGGCCGCTTGCCTGATTGACATCTATAGGGTGTAATCTGCACTTTTAGTAAAATTAAAAAAGAGGACACACTCTTCACACATAAAGTAATAGAGTAAGCTAAAGTGCTTTAGGGGTCTGGAGTGCCCCTTTAAATCTAAATTTCTAAATTCAGTCCAATATAGTCAAGCTGTAACTATAGCTATAATGGAGTATTTACGCCTCAATTTTGCCATTAATATTTATTTTGCAATAATTTAGGGGGTGATTGATAAAAATGTACACATTTGCGTACAACATGTGCACGTATAAAACTGTTGCTACACCCTTTATACCTTTGTCCACTTTTTCTGTAACACGTTAAAATCATCCATCTATTTATCACTTTTTATTCCTCAAATTAGCCTTTCATTCTGTTCATAAAATAAGACAAATTATTAATATTACTAAGAGCAAATGGCACATTCGCAATTTCAAGGATATTGCTTAAACATAAAGGAAGATGGTGAAAACTGCTTACCGGTTTCAGAAAACACGCCACACTGACAGTGGCAGAAATATTTTGTAAGGAAAAAAAAAAGCGCAGTCTTACGCTTCTTTTACACATTTATACATTGACAGCGCCGTGAATTGACATAACAAAAAAAAACCACTAAATGGAACCATCAGGAAACATTGTGAAAACAAAGAAAATATTCGAGCAAACAGAAAATGCGACAGAATTTTGATGTGAAAATAGCCACGTCACGTTTTATACATAGCCATGGTAATGTCAACGTGAGTCAAAGTAAACATCTTTTATTTATTTTTTTTTTTTTTATTTAATAACCATTTGCCTGTAAACGTAAAGATGACAGAAGTAAAGAAAGTACACTGACCACTGGACAGAAACCCACATCCTCAAAGACTTTATTAACTTAACAAGCTTATGAGATAAGATATTGGAACATTTCTAAACACAAGGAGGTAAAATGTTTAAGTAATGGAGATGCACACGAAAAAGAAAAAGTGCTCAATATTAATGCACCAGAGTAATCCAAGATGAAAATCAGGTTTAATGGAATCGGAATACTTTAACCCCTTAAGGACACATGATGTGTGACATGTCACGATTCCCTTTTATTCCAGAAGTTTGGTCCTTAAGGGGTTAAACAGAGGTCTTTGCGGTATGAGAAATTGTGTTTCTCTAAATAGTTGGATAACTCCGTTGTTCAAATTGTGCAGTAAATGTTTCTAGCATTTTAGACTTAGTAAGGAATGCTCCAAAAACCATAAACACTACAATGTGATGTAGTGGTTATGGTGCCAGGATTACCCTGCTACTTCCAGGTCCAGACAAGAAAAGAGTGACACCTGGTGGAAGACAAACCGTTCTAAAATGATTTGCACTCCTGGCAGCGTAACCACTTATACAGTGCTCTGTAGTGGTTATGGTGCTTGGGGTGTTCCTTTCAAATGGTGGTACTGTGAAAAAACTCTTTTGGTAATCACTCACAGATTTATTCAAACGCCAGCTGTTAAAGAACCACAACTCACGTTAACCTTTCGTAGCTAATTGACGTGTTTTTGTACTAACATCTGTATATCCGTATCCGGTATCTGGATATTTCAGCCTTGAAACACTTGAAAAGATGTAACAACTAACACACCAAATATTCAAGTTTAACCTGTGAGATTTATATTTCGAGGGGTTTATTCACTAAACACTGAATTGTTGTGAATGGAAATTTGCCATTTGAAAAAAACACCATTTTGCTTTTTTAGCAGACTGCATCCAAGCAATCTTGAGCAGTGTTATGACAAATTAACAGTTGATTAGGTATTATGTTGATGTTCTTTAATTATATTCGGTGAGAATATTTATTTAAAGTGGGTTTTATGTGCTTGCTCCAAGGCAGAAATTTTCATGCACTAACCATCAGCATTTAATTGTGATATATGTCAAAATACATTGTGGATCTATCAATACATCCCAATATTATCACCCAAGCTGCCTTGTCGGAGGTCTGCTAGAAAGCAAGATGACTGGTGGGTTTCATGTAGGAAAATTTCCAATACTGGCTGAAAATTTCTATTTACAGAAATGGAAATTGTCTAGAATTCAGAGTTAATCCCAAAATAAAGTTCAAATTTTAGTCAGCAATGCTTCAGTTCATCTATTCTATAATATACGGCTATTTATAATAAAAAATGGTTGGATTTGCTTATGAATTATATATAAACACACTACATGGTTATTTACTAATTTTTTGTATTTTCAAGAATCGAAAGTGAATTCAAAGTGAATTTAAGATTTTCAGCTAAAGTAAATGAATTGAAAACAAGTTAACCCTAGTTTTACCAATGACATGGCGGGACTGCGATGAAAACAACAAATTGGCCCAAGTCTGGTCACAAATGGCTGTGAGTGTAGCTTTTAGTGGAATGAAGTCATAGAGTATTTGTGATCATGTATCTATGATAAAGAACTTGCAATTAGTCAAGAGTTACCATTTGTTACACAAACACACTGTCATATATGCACTCTAAGACAGAATTCTAAATCTGTGCAGAAATTAGGGGCAATTAGGGTATGGCAATGCCTTAGATGCAAAGGATATCATTTTAATACACAAAACGATAAATTGGAAAAAAAATTCTCCTGAAGTCACAGTGAAATTGACACCTTGATAATATACAAAAATTATTCCATTTGCAGGAAAAAGGTACCCAATGCAAAAATGAAATTTAAATGCCTTTGCTTTGATTTCTTAACTAGTAAAATGGCAAAATTTTGCCTTGTTCTGCTTTTCCAAAGAAGCAATATAAAATGTGTATAAGATTTACTGTTTTCATATCAATTAATAAGACAAAAATTTGCTCAGTAAAGTTTTACAGTAGATTTCCTATACAAAACGTGAACATTTGCACAGCAGATGCAACAATGCCAATTCACTAGAAAGGGAGAGATAAATCAGTGGTTCCCCAAACCCGGCTCTCCCAAAGAGTGAGACAGGTACACAGGGCAGGTGCAAGGATTTTTTCCACCCCATTCGTTCCACCCACTTATGCAGATTTACATACACTGACCCATACACACATACACACATACACACTGACCCACACACATACGCTCACACTGACCCCCCCTCCAAACACACACTAACCCATAAAGACACATACACTGACCCATGCAGACACACCTAGAACCTACACGCACACAGAGACCCATACACACACACAGAGACCCATACAAACACACACACTGACCCATGCAGACACATGCTGACCCATACACAGACCGATACATACACACTAAGCCCCCCCTAAGTAGGCGCCCTAGATGGCCGCCTACTTAGTCTATAGGATGCACCAGCCCTGTAGGTACAGCATTATTCACCAGGGTTTAACAAATTGCCTTTAGCATAAATAGTATTCTGCGGTATAGCTAAATGCAACACTGGGAAAAGTCTAAAATGCAGGTGTTTTCCAAAAGTTATATTATTATATGCTATATTGCAATAGAAGAATGGGTCATGGAGCTAATTTTTCAATTGAAGAATGCATTGCCAAGCTAAAATATGTCATGCACATAATTTAGGTCCTTGTCAAAGAAAAGTTAATAACTACAGCATGGGTCGTCAACCTGGTCCCTACCGCCCACTAGTGGGTGTTTCAGGATTCCAGGTGGGCGGTAGGGATTTCGGCGGCTAAATCCTCTTTTTAAGAGGATTTCTCCTTTTGGGCGGGCGCGAGCGGCTCTGCGGGGCAAGTTTTCAGTGACCGGCAGGAGGAAGTGCTCCCTCCTGCCAGGCCACCTTCTGGACCCCCAGGTGCGGCAGAGTTCTAATCCGAGGAGGCGAGGGAGCTCTAACCTCTCTGCACTGCTCCTTCGCGCAATATTTGCTGATGCCGCGGGAGCCGGAATATGATGTCATATTCCAGCTCCCGGCATCAGCAGACAGCCCGCAAGGGAGCAGAGCAGAGAGGTTAAAGCTCCCTCGGCGCGTCTGATTAGAACACAGCCGCCCGCCGAAGTGAAGCCCCACTGGACCCCAGGGACAGATCCACACCAGCTCTCCAGGTAGGGAGGCTGGGTGGACATTTAATATTAATAATTTGTGTGTATGTAAGTGTGTGTGTGTGTGTGTGTGTCTGTAAGTGTATGTGTGTGTGTGTCTGTAAATATGTGTGTGTGTATGTAAGTATATGTGTGTGTGTGTGTCTGTCTGTAAGTATGTGTGTGTCTGTAAGTATATTTTTGTGTGTCTGTAAGTATATGTGTGTGTGTCTGTGTGTCTGTAAGTATATGTGTGTTTGTGTCTGTAAGTATGTGTGTGTGTATATGTGTGTCTGTTAGTGCATGTGTGTCTGTCTGTATGTTTGTGTGTATGTGTTTCTATGTGAGTGTGTGTGTGTGTGTCTGTAAGTGTACGTGTGAGTGTTTGTCTGTGAGTGTGTGTATCTGTAAATGTATGTGTAAGTGTGTGTGTGTTTGTGAGCAGAGTACTTGTAGAATAGAAGTAAGAAGGAGCAGAGTATTTGTAAAAAGGAGAAAGAAGGTGCAGAGTACTTGTAGAATAGGAGAAAGAAGGAGTAGAGTACTTGTAAAAAAGGAGAAAGAAAGAAAAGGAAAAGGAGAGAATTGTTGTTGACTAATAATAGTAAGTGGGCTACTTAGCTCAGCCTTCCTACTAGGCTAAGAATGCACAAGCAACTTACACCCTAAATGGCAGTGAATTAGGGATAACCACACACAAGAAGGATTTGGGAATTGTTATAGACAACAAATAAGGCAGCAATTTGCAATGTCAATCTGCAGTTGCTAATGTCAGTAAGATTTTGTCATGTATAAATAGGGGCATAAATTCTCGGAATGAAAATATAATTTTGCCTCTTTATAAATCGCTGGTAAGACCACACCTTGAATATGCTGTGCAATTTTGGGTGCCTGTTCTAAAGAAAGATATCATGGCACTAGAAAAGGTCCAGAGACGAGCTACAAAATTGATAAAAGGAATGGAGCATTTTAGTTATGAAGTAAGGTTAAAAAAATTAAATCTGTTTAGTTTGGAAAAACGGCACCTGAGAGGGGATATGATAACTTTATACAAATATATTCGGGGCCAGTACAAACCTTTATCTGGAAATCTATTCATAAACAGGGCTATACATAGGACACGTGGTCACACATTTAGGCTGGAAGAAAGGAGATTTCATCTAAGGCAAAGGTTTTTTTACAGTAAGAACAATAAGGATATGGAATTCTCTGCCTGAAGAGGTGGTTTTGTCAGAGTCCACACAGATGGTTAAACTGAAATTGGATAAATACTTACAAAAACATAACATACAGGGATAACATTTCTAATTAGTGGGGTAATAGCTGCTTGATCCAAGGAGACATCTGACTGCTAGTTTGGGGTCAAGAAGGAATTTTTTCCTAGTTTGTGGCAAAATTGGAAGTGCTTCAGACCAGGTTTTTTGCCTTCTTTTGGATCAACAGCAACAACATTTGTGAGGAAGGCTGAACTTGATGGACGCAAGTCTCTTTTCAACTATGTAACTATGTAGGCATTGCTATAAGGAAGGTTAAAAAATAGAAAAAAGGAAGAAAAAAAAGGTGGGGAGGGGAATTGAGGAGGGAGAGGAGGGGAGCTGACGCACAGATGAGAAATCATTTTATGAGCAAACAGAGACGTCTTCTGAATATCACCGGAAGAGGAGACCTTTGCTTGTTCCTTACGAAAATCGAACCAGATATCAAATATTTAGTCTCGCAGCATCAGCCTCAAGGATCTCATTAATCACTAGTAAAGGTAATTTAAATTTACTTTATTGATTCCTCATTAAACTTTATAAAGTTAAAAACATTCTAAACATGCATAAAGTAGAAATAAAAAGATAAATGTACGTACATTTATTTATTTTTTTTAAAACACCCTCCTTTCTATAAAATATTCCGCGCTTGCGCGAAAACTGGTGGGCGGTAAGGAAATTTTTCCATCAAGAAAGATGCAGTGGAAAAGTGGAAAAAGGTTGACTACCACTGAACTACAGGAATAAAAGGTTTAAGATCACCCCATTTTATACTTTTAACATAATATATTTTTAAAATGACCACTAAAAAGGCATGTTTTAAATGTCCACGATAAACAGGGTGATACAATAATGACTTGGTCATTGACTGCATTATCTGCAAACAGGCAGGGTCATTTAGCATATACACAGACACATGGGTACACACACTGGCACACATACAAACACGTCGAAACACCGTTTCACACATGCAGATACACAGCCATTCAGATAGACACAGGAGCACACACTAACACACATGTAGATACACAGACACACAGATATTCACATACAGATACACAGGTGCTTATGCTGAGATACACACAGATACACAGACATACACACTGACAAACATATAGATACAAAAACTGACACACATACAGATACACTGACACACAGATATACAGACACAATTCAGATCAAAATATATTCATTTTTAGCCCCACTCCCACTTCCTACCTTTTGGGTGCAGGAGGCTGGCTTCACTGCTGTACAGTTTGCTGGCTGAGGCTGAGGTTGGCTCTCCTAGTCCACACTTACCTCCGTTCTGCCTTCTCCTGTATGGCTCAGTGTCTGTGTTAGCTGGGAGGAAGTGACAGCATCTCACTTCCTCCCAGGCTGCAGGTATGAGATTGGCCTTGTCGCACTAAGTCCCCGAATACACATACACTCTGGGTGTTCCTAAGTTCATGGGCCACCCAATGGGACCCTTCAGCCTGCATTAGTTCCCCCACTAAGTAAACTCTTGTCAGGCTTTAAATGTTATATTATTGTTTGGCTTGCATCCTGGATGGTGAAACGAGAGGGGGCGTTGCCTGAAAGAAATCTGATTATAATGGTTTAATATATCTCCTATGTTAGAACACTATAGATTTTTCAAATTTCATAATAAAATGAGCTCCTTTGTCTGAGTGTATATGTGTGTAGGTATGTATGTGCATATTACATTATCAGTTTTCAAATGCTGCACTGCCCTCTCCCCAGCACTGCCCTGGCATTAATGATTGCAGCTACCTAGAAGTGTGACCCCCATCAATCTTAGGCAGACCTCTGCTGCCCCAACATGCATGCGTCTGTGCGTATGTGTTTGTTACCTTCTACAGCAGGTGGAATGGCAGGATACAAACTCAGGTATTTCAGTTTTTTATGGAACCATGTTGAGGTATTTGAGCCATTCATAAACCACTCAATGTACAGTCTTTCTACTTTTAGAATTGGTCATGGAGCAAGCTATTTGTATGTGCAGCATTTTATCTTGACATCTGCCAGGGTCTTGTTGCACTGCCAGGACATGTGACTTGGGCTGCCTGGAACTCTGTTCCGACTGCCTAATGTTGGTTCTGTGAAAAAAAATACGTCTTTTGTCAAGACGCACTGTGCAATGTCTGGTGAATGACAGAATGAGGCTTTTCACTTGCAGTAGGCACTGTGAGCGCGCCCACAAGAAGAAGCCCGTTGGACTGTGTGTATGCAGATCCCTCACACACAACATCCTTTCCTAATACCGCCTCTATTTGTCCATAATTCTGCAACCCTACATATTATTATACTATATATCCCTTTTAAATTGTGTCTCCCCCCGCCTTCACACCGTCCCAATCATTCGGCCAACCTTTGGTGTGCTGCACAGTGATAGGGAAGAGAAAAGTATTAGAAGAAAACGCGGCGTGACAACAAAAAGGAGGTGTGGGGGAGATACCTAACGATATGGTGACCTTTACAAAAAAAATGTATAATTGAGTTAAATACTAAATGGAGTAACCCTTTAATACACAGTTCAGTGTTTTGTGTATATAAATGAGCGTGTGTGCGAGAAGGTATTTGTATACATGAGTGAATACCTACATGCACGTGTGGCGGTTATATAAATGTATGTACGGTGTGCTGTTTCTGTACATGTTTAAAATGCTATATTTCACGATCTGGACATTATTTCATTTTTGCACCAGATACTGCATGGTGATTGACATAATTTGTGCATTAGTCTTCTATTTAATGATTTATATGTAAATAATATATTATAATTAATAATGCATGGTTTTAGTAACACCATGGAGTAGGAAGCCCCTACTGTGCCAAGTTCCATTGCTCAGTAGAAGCTGCCATTTAGAGCTACCCCCATTATCACTTTACCCTTTCTCATTAGTGAAATGTATGTTCGGAGAGGAGGTAGAAACAATATGTCCTCCTCCGCAGCTACTCTCTATACAAGGAGGCTGAATTAATGTCGGCAGATATTGCTTGTGAGGGTAACTCACACCAGTCTCAGACAGCCATAAACGTTCCGCTACCCTAATATTAAAGGAAACATAGTCTTAGCTCTAACTGTACATTAGGAGACTATAATGTTATCTAGGGGTTATGGCAACATTATTAAACAACTAGACCTTCAGTTAATGTGCGTTATGGCGTTATTTTTACCATAATACACTGTATCCCTCCTATCCGTATGTATTTCTATATGTAAATCCTGATTGTCCAACTCTGGTATTCACGCTGTTGCTCTTCTACAATTCCAAAAGAATTGTGGGAGTTGTAGTGTGACAACAACAAGAGGGCTTCAGCTAGACACCATCAATTTAACACTTTCGTGAAGAAGGGTTAATTAGACCTCATTAAATCACAATGGTTCAACTCCTGACATATCATCTATCACAATGGCGTACTGTAGGCAATCGTCGACACTCCAGAAATTGTGGACTGCATCTCCCATAATACTCTTACAGCAATAATGATAGCAAAGCATCATGGGAGAAGTAGTCCACAACATCTGGAGTGCCAAAGGTTGCCTAACCCACAGTCCACAATTGTGTTAAAGCATAATACGATTATTGCTACCTCCATCCTCAATTGTTCATACAATATTTTTAATATTTTAAGTAACTCTATACGCTTAGGGTTTGATTCAGATGATATTTTCTAAATAATTATATTAGCTAGTAATTAATAATATGTGTTTTAGCAGCAATGAAGTGGGAATTGAAGGCCTCAGTAACAGCCCACATATAACACCTACAATATGAATATCTTGTTTTGGAAGACAATAAGCTTATCTTACTTTTTAACTCCTGCACTGCTTAATGGATATAGTCTATCTTGTGTAAGGTCTTTTAAATGAATCACAGTGTTCAATTAAGTAACTTTAAAAACTATCCTATTTAATATGTGCATTAAAAAAAATTCTAAGAATTTTTAAGACATGTCCATGGCTAGTTATAACAAGATGCAGGGATAGGCTCACTAAGTGGCTCGCAAAATATAGGAGAATGTATAAAAGCAACTTTGATTTTGAGAATTCTTATTGTATCAGCTCAATTGAGTTACAGATTTTTATATTTATATGTTTCATTAAATTCTGAAAATTGTTTGTCATTTTTCACCACAAACCGATGATTAGTGAATAAACCCAGTTATATGACAAGGCACAAAATCACCAATTTCAAAGTCCAATGTTTCCTACCAAGCCA